ATTATGGGGATGATATGTGTTGTTTTGGCTCTTGTGTTTCGGCCAGAATTGAAGGGAAAAGGATGAAATATTTGTGGGTCATTTTGGTGAGTTTAATGGGGTGTGTTTTTTTGATGAGAAAGGGTGGGGGTAAGGGGGTACGGCCTGGGCAGTAAAGAAAGAAAACAGGTTGTTTGGGTTTATTTTAGGGTGAGGAAAAATCCAATGAAATTATGGCTAAGGGTTTGGGTTTAGGAGGGGTAAATTCATTCCAAAAAGGATCGTAGGATTTAGTCATTAATCCGGTAATTTGTTTAAGGACTTTCGTAGGTACCGGGGGTATATCAGCTAGAGTGGCTAGGGTCCTTTGTAAAGAGCTAGAGGCACAGGCATCAAATGTACTCATAGCTAAAGCAGCTAGGGTCATCCATAAAAAGCTAGATTGATAGAACTCAAGAGTGGTAGGGAAAATAAATGAAGGATAATATTCATAAAATTATGAAATCAGCATTTGGTGTAAATTATCTTGACCGTAATATCGTTCTTAGCCGGGCAAAAACGATAAACTAGTCTAACAAAATACACCAAATTACAAATGCATGGATTTTAACGTCAAAACCCAATTAGGAGAAAACCACAAGCCTTTTTTCGTGATACCTTACCGGGGTTTCTTTTTATTAATATCAGAGATTGGACACGTTACATCATTTGGGCTTATAAGCCATTAATGGAAGCGTAGAAGCTTTTTTAAAGAAGGAAAAATCTAAGAGACAGAGAGAAAGTGTGCAGGAGAGTGGGAGAGGAGACTTTGGCCTCTCCTCACTTGTGAAGATGGTTTTCCTTTTATTGGAGGAAATTGAGCATCTTTTAAGGAATATTCTCTTATTCCTCAATTTTATTTATCAAGCCCGATCCGAGTGAGCTTCTTAAATAATTGGGAAATCTAGTCAAGTATTATTTCCATCAGCATTTAACTTCATAAAATAATAAAACTAAAATCTTAATCAATATATGAGCAGCAACAACCCAGTTGAATCCCACTACAGTAGGGTCTGGGGAGGGTGTGTGTATGCAGACCTTGCCCCTACTCGGAAGTAGGGAGGCTGTTTCCAAGAGACCCCGGCTCAACCTGCACAAAAAATATGGTAGGGAACACAGTATAACACGGATAAAGCACCAAGTACAATGAAATGAAAGCCATGCAAGCAATAGCAAAAGATTCCAATCAAACACAACACTACAAAAAATCTCTGCAGCACCGAGCTCCTATCCAGCTACTCTAATCCTAGTTATCCAAAGATTCTATCTAAATCCATATCATCAGGGTGAGAAGTCCTAAATCCTGCCTAATCACCTCCTTCCAAATCTTCCTAGCTCTACCCCTTCCCCTACTTCCCCCGATAACCATAATCCCCTCGCATCTCCGTACAGGGGCGTCAGCATCCCGTCGTCTCACATAACCAAACCATCTCAACCTTGCTTCCCGCAACTTATCTTCCACCGGCTCCATGTCTACCTGACGTCGGATAACTCCGTTCAAAATCCTATCCAACCTTGTCTTCCCACACATCCATCGTAACATCCGCATCTCCGCCGCATGCCGACGACGCACATGAGTCTTCTTAACTGCCCAACACTCTGCCCCATATAACATAGCAGGTCTGACTACGGATCGGTAGAACTTACCTTTCATCCTGGGTGAAATCTTCGGATCACCAACACCCCTGAAGCCAACCGCCATTTGGCCCAAGGAGAATCTCCAATAGTATTGAATTAGTTTCTCAATAACTTTTACAAATAATGAGGCTCAATATTTATAAAAGACAAATAACTACCAATCTCTATAATTTAGGCCCACTACCACATCACCTAGTAAGTATTCCTAGACTTTAGGCTCACTACTACATTGCTTACACATTAATTACTTCTTAGTAACTAACGTATATAAAATGATATATTTGACCTATTAAAAAATGATCCTGACTATTATAAATATTAATAACATAAAATAATTGCATATGTGGCACAGCACTTTATCATTATCCCTCCTTTCAAAGTTTGCCTTGTCCTCAAGGCAAAATCTAGACAATAGCTTCTTGGTATAACTGGAGGTTTTGGTAGAGTTAGTAGGAAGACAATATAATGAAAAGCTCCAATCAAAGTAGTGGTGCTTCGAACAAAAGGGTTCCAAATATGGCATACCAACTTCAAGGATAAATTGATGCATGAGGCCGCTATCCAAGGTTTCTTGAAGCTAATTAATGATGTAGAATTTTCTAAGATGATGTTTGTGTTGACACGTATATAAAAGTTTTGTAACCCCAATTTGAATGCATTCTCATCAGCACTTAGCATAAGAATCATGGCCCCTTCTATAGCCAATTTTGTAGGTGAGAATGGAGAGGTTTGATAACAACTCAGTTGGATCCCACAATAGTAGGGCATGGGGATGGTGTGTCATGTGTGTACTCAAAAGCAAGGAGGCTGTTTCCAAGAGAAACCCCCTGCTCATGTAGCACACAAACGGTATAATAGCAAAGCAGACACATAAAAGCAGAGAAAGCACACATAAAAGACACATACAAACCATGAAAAATACACAAAAAAGCAAACAAGGTACACAAAAACAAGGGCAGTCACCTATTCAAAATTGTCTACCCGACCACCCTAGTCTTAGCTTTCCAAATGCTCATATCTAAAGCCATATGAGCAGTGAGGGTAAGAAGTCATAAGTCATGTCAAGTCACCTACTCCCAATAACTTCTTAGACCCCTACTCCCACCCTCTGACGTAAGCCCCTTGCATCTGTGCACTAGGGCGTCAGCACTCCTCTTACTCACATGCCCAAACCACCTTAGCCTAGCTTCTCGTAGCTTATCTTAGACAGGTGCCACACTCACCCGTCCTCGAATAATCTCATTCTGAATCTGATCCATCCTTGTCTATCCAACCATCCAATGCAGCATCCGCATCTTTGAAACATACAATTGATGATAGCCGAAATCCACTTATCACACAAAACCCCTACAGCAAACCTCCACTTAGCCCAAGCTGCTCCAACCCGGTGCATGACATCCCCGTCCGCTTGAAAGACCGAGCCAAGATACCAAAACGTTTCTACCTTGAGCACTGGGTGTGAAGGAATCCAAACTTCCACCCCTGATTCTTTTTCCCTACCATTAGGACAACATTCCATGTCTTTAGTCTTGGTCCTACTTATTCTAAAACCTTTGGATTCTGGCGCCAAAGTTCCAACTTGTCGTTTTGTCCATCTAGAGTGTTGTCAATAAGCAAAATATCGTCAGCAAAAAGCATGCACCACGAGACCTCCCCTTGGACTCTCCGCATCAAAACATCCATCACCAAAGCGAACAAGAATGGGCTAAAGGCATGTGTAACCCCACCTCTAAGGAGAAAGACTCTGAGTCACCCCAACAGTCTTTGCCTTAGTCTTAGCCCCGCAGTAAATATCTCTGACTGCACGAGTTCATGCTTTATCAAGGTTAATAAACACCAAATGAAGATCTTTCCTCTTAGCCATATACTCTTCCATCAACCTCCGTAGAAGGTGAATGGCCTCTGTGATCAATGTGGTCAATCTGCCACGCATGAAACCAAACTGGTTTTCTGAAACACACACCTCCGGCAGCCTAAATTCAATTACACGCTCCCAAACCTTCATTGTGTGGCTAAGTAATTTGATGCCCCTGCAATTCTCACAACTCTGAATGTCACCCTTACCCTTAAACAAAGGGACCAACACACTCCCTCCACTCGTCATGCATCTTAGTCGTCCTGAAAATAACATTAAATAGATTGGTTATCCCAATCAACCCTCTGTGGCCCACACACTTCTAAAACTCCACTTAAATATCATCCAGCCCCAAGGCTCTCCCACTTCTCATCTTGCGGATGGGCTCGAGTGACCTCCTCCTTACTAAAGCACCGGCAATACCCAAAGTCTTGATGCATCTCAGACTGCCCCAGCTCCCCTAGTTCTAGCCTCGAATCTCCTCCCGCATTCAAGAGGCCATGGAAGTACTCCACCCGACGTTTGGCCACCTCATCCGTCCTGGACAGCACTCTACCAATATTAATCATTCCTTCATATTGGAACAACCAAGGTTTGGATTGCAGTTGCCAATTTCCATCCATGAGAGATGTTCTAGTCAAGATTGTGGAGGGGCACTGTGAAGACAACATGATTGCATTTACTGCCACGTGCCAACTTAGAGTTGCAATTTAAATTCTCTTTTCATCATGTAGAAAATTACGTGTTAGATGTAAGGAATTGAAGCGGCTGGCTGCAATGGTAGGGTGTTTGGGCTTACGAGCAAATGTAACCCTACCCTTCGGTTTTTGAATTTTCTTTCCTTTCACCTCTAGATGGAAGTTACTAGAAGTTGTTCTTTTGTAGGGTGTCACAAATTAAGAGTTAGTTGATGCTGCCTCTTTGGAATTTATGATATCAATGCGAGCAAATAACTATTGGATGAGAAACCGTATGGAGAAAATGAACAAACTGAATTTTTGCAGAAGGAACCCATAAATATCTTATGTCTCGTATACCAAACGATTGAACTCAAGAGTGCCAAGGAATATAAATGAAGGATAGTTTTTATTAAATTATGAAATCAGCATCTAACTTCATAAAATAAATTAAAGTAAAATCTTTTTAAAAATATGAGCAGAAATCTTAAACTCATATAAGTAATAAAGCCAAAGAAAAATCTCCAACAATGAGTATTGAATTAGTTTCTGGATAACTTTTACAAATAATGAGGCTCAATATTTATAAAAGCCAAATAACTATCAATTCCTAGAATTTAGGCCCACTACCACTTTACCTAGTAACTGTTCCTAGACTTTAGGCTCATTACTACATTACTTAGCAACTACTCCTAGAAGTTAGGCCCACTTACACATTAGTTACTACTTACTAACTAACATATATAAAGTAATATATCTGACACGTTAAACAACTAACCCTAACTGACTCTATTATGAATATTAATAACATAAAATAACTACATATAGAGAACTGCTTTTAAAGCCACAATTTATGTCCTATGCAGCAAATAGAGCTACTCTAATGGTGCTATTGCTAAGTTTTGTGCATACGTTATCCTTCAAATCCGATCACTTTTTGAGTGTTGGCCTACATGTAGGAGTTAGGACTCTAAGGGTGGGATTGGGATGATCCCAACCCCAATTTTAAAAAATAATCTGAATCCCATCCCGATCCGATTAGAGAATAAAAATGATCCCAAATCCCAACAGAATCAAGCCTGGACCCCATCAACAAAATCTCAATTATATCTGGACCCCGATCACAACAACCGATAAATCCCAACAATGTATATTAGCTGGGTATGCTTCTCCTATACTTGCACATCTTGCTTTTGGGTTCTCAATATTTATAAATTGTCCCAGAAAAATAAGTGCAAAATTAATGAATAGATAAATAAATAATTAAATAAATATATAGATAGATAAATAAATAAATAAAGACTGCAGGCTGACCTTTGTTAGATACCCGCGCAATGCTTCATCAACATTGGAGCTACCCAATACCAAATAAAAACCGGGTTTATTTTGAACCCATGGCAAAAGTGATGCTAGCATGAATGCTAGGACCATTCTAACTCGAGCTTGAATATTTTGTAGCCCCAAGTTCTCAATGTTTGATCCACCGTCTACCTAGAATATAAGGATCAATAATTCATCAATATCGATCTAATCAATGCACTAAAATATCACTGTGATTCAGATGTCTTTTACTTATACACAGTAAAAAAGTGAAATGACAATGATACTACCTTATAGCGTGGGCGCTTCCCCGTAAGTGTTTGAAACAAAGAGATCATAGATGAAACTACCCCATCAATGTTAATATTTAGATGCCATGATCCAACTTCATCTGCCAGAACCTTTGCCCGATATTTGGTGGCTTCAGAACTAATTTTAAACATTACATGCAACCACGAATATGCAGACTGTTTAAAGAATGAATTCTAAACTTAAATCTAAAAAAAACAAAAGACGAGAGAATCGTGGATAACTTTGCTTTCAGGTTCATGTGTACACTACAAAAAAACTTAATTCATCAGGTCATTTTTGGCTTATATTTTATCAGTAATCAGAATCATGTGGCTCTAGATGATTAGGCATACACACACACACACTTAAATGATAGATTATATACAATTATTCAATTTCAGTTGGTTGTCCCATACAATCTGAGGGGATGTAAAATTTTAGATGGTTTTGTACACTTTACCACCTTCTCCACCCAGATTTCTCCCAGATATGTATATTTGGACCGCTGGCAACTTCACCCAGAAATCTGTCATACTGTTGGAAGATTCCAGGGCAGGAGGCTGCCACCGTCTCATGCTCACCCGGTTTACTCAGTATCAAATCAAACCTAAAATCTTTTCATTGTAACTTTGGTTCTTGACATTGCCTATGAATAGACAGCTAAACAGACCAGACTGGTGATAAGATAGAGGGAGAGGTTGATGTTGAATGGATAAAGAAATGGGAAGGCCTTAAAGAGCATGTACTGTGTAATTTTTAACTCAAACTAAGATGAACATTCCTAATTGAAGGTGGTAAAGTGTACCAAATATTTCAAATTTGTGAGGGGCTCTCTGTGCCACTTCCTAGTTAGTATTCAAGTGTACTTGTTTAAAACACAAGCTTTAACCACATATGGAAAGGAGAGCTTTAAAGGTACCAAAATACTAGTCTTAAAAACATACCTATTTTCAGACCCCATGAAAACAGTATAAAATATACGTCTAGCAAATTCTTTGCTATCTACTGGGACGAGTCCATCAGTGTAATTGCCAATTCGCATAGCATCAGCTTTGACTTGTTCATCCCCATTT